TCCCTCCCTCCCTCCCTCCCTTCCTTCCTTCCTTCCTTCCTAATCTTCACCCAAGGATTTCCCCCCATTAATTTTTAGAGAGAGTGGGAAGGGAGAGATACAGAGAGAGAAACATCAATGTGAGAGAGACACAACGATTGGTTGCCTCCCACATGTGCCCCAACTGGGGCTGGGGATGGAGCCTGCAACCAGGTACATGCCCTTGACCGGAATTGAACCCATGACCCTTCAGTCTGTGGGCTGACACTCTAACCACTGAGCAAAATGGGCCAGGGCCACATCACTATTTCTTTCTTTTTTATACCATGGCACTAGTATATAATAACTTAAACAAAAGTTTTACAAAAGTTGCGCTTACTCAATAGATGAATGGTGATGTTTTTGTTTAATGTGTGACATGATTTCATGTTTAAGAGAGGTGAGTGGCCGGCCGAGAAGTTGATTTCACGCTGGGCCGGCCGGGCCCGTCCTCTGCTGCCCGCTCCTCGCCCACAGCTCTGACTCCGCCTGTCTTTAACAGATGCTGCCATGTACAACACCTCCGGGGCCCTGCCCGCCTCGCCGGGGGCGCCCACCACCTACGGTGAGTCCCCCTCCCACAAACCAGGTGAAGGGAGCTCCTGGGGGCGGAGACTGCACCTGCTGTCTGTGTGGGAGCTGGCACAGGTGGCTCTGCCCGGAGACAGCGCCCCCCACAGGTGGGCCCAGCCTCCGCTCCTCCCTGCCCGGCATGTGCTCGCCCGAGGCGGAGGTGGCCTGCTTCCAGTGGCTTCGTGAGAGCTGGGGAAATGGGGAGCAGAAGCAGGGGGAGACCTTTCTACCCGCGGCCCCCCGGGTGTCCATGGATGGGTGGGGCGCTGAGAGCAGCACCGGCCTCTCTAATCGGAGATAAATGTGCAGACATGTGTCCGTAGCTTCAGACACTCACTGGCCGCGGGAGCCAGCACCTGGGAAATGCGTGACCCTGTGTCTCAAAGACGAGCCTCGGCGAGTTGTCACATCTCAGAGAGCGCAGACCGGGACCCTCACCTGGTTCTCATGAGGTGTGACGAGGGGCCCGTAGACCCCGGCCGCGGTGATAAAGGAACGAGGTTCGGGGAAAGTGGGAAAGCTGTCCGTGATCCCATCTGACACGGGAGGAGGAGGAGGCGAGAGGACTGAGTAACAAGGCCGAGAGGGAGCAGGTGCCCGGGTGGCACCGGAGGGATTACCCTGAGAGGCCTGTCGCTGTCCAGGCCCCTTCTCTTCCTGTCCCACGAGGTGACGGCGTTCTCTCTCTCTTCCTGGTTGCAGACCCAATGCTGAAAGTCGACGACAGCAACACCCGCATCCTGATTGGCTGCCTGGTGGCCATCATCTTCATCCTCCTGGCCGTCATTGTCACCATCCTCTGGAGGCAGTTCTGGCAGAAGATGCTGGAGAAGGTGAGGAGGCACCAGGCGCTGCTGCCCCGGACCCAAGGGCGAACTGTGAGGGTTTGCACCCAGCGAGGCGCTCGCCCGGGCCCCGGGAAGCGCAGGGTGGAGAGGCTGGTCGCTGAAGGAGCCAGGAAAGAACGGGCAGGTCCACGTTCTCATTCTCAGAGCGGAGACTTTGGGACCTCCCCAGAGAGCTCCTCCCAGTCGTGAGATCTCAGCTCAGGCTTCGCCTCAGAGATGCTGACGCCCTGGGTGGAGGGGGAGGTGCAGGCATGTGCGTTTAAAAAAAATGAACAGGATGCCCGGCCGGCGTGGCTCAGTGGTTGAGCATCGACCAGGAGGTCACGGTTCGATTCCCGGTCGGGGCGCATGCCTGGGTTGCAGGCTCCATCCCCAGTGTGGGGCGTGCAGGAGGCAGCTGCTGAATGACTCTCTCTCATCATTGATGTTTCTATCTCTCTCTCCCTCTCCCTTCCTCTCTGAAATCAATAAAAAAATATATATATTTATTTATTTTTAAAAAATTAACAGGAGCCTAGCTGGTGTGGCTCAGTGGTTGAGCATTGACTCATGCACCAGGAGGTCACAGTTAGATTCCCTGTGAGGGCACATGCCCAGGTTGTGGGCTCCATCCCCAGTAGGAGGTGTGCAGGAGGCAGCTGATCCCTGTTGCTCTTCCATGGATGTTTCTACTTCTCTCTCCATCTCTCGTCCTCTCTCTCTTAAAACACAATTAAAAAAATATTAACAAGTGCTTCTGATGGACAACTGATACCTACCCAAAATCTCTGACAATACTGCTCCTCTTCTTTGCTGTTTGCTGTTTATTTTTTGGGGTGAGTGTGTGTGTGTGAAGCATCCAGCCTCACTAATATCCAAGCCAAGCTCTCACAGTTCTATCCCCGCTTCTCTGCATGCTTAACGTTACAATTGTCCATCCCTTTGGGCCCCTTCCTCGGAGTTTCTTGTTCAGGCCAACTTATCTGAATAATTGTTATTACATCTGTCTAACGCTTTACCGTCCACAAGGACTTCCACTTGACCCTCACTGAGTGATGGTGAGTTGGGCAGAGTTGTACCTGATGGCCTTTCTCATGGGAACACGTGATGTGCTCACATCACACGGCTCACACCTGTCTCTCTGTTCTTTCAGTTGTCGGTCTTGAAATAAGTTGTTATTTTCTTCCGAAACATGCTCAGGTCACCACAGGTGGACCAGCCATGACTCGCTTGGTTCCTCGGGCCAGAGACCAGTTTTCTGGACATGACTGCTCAGTGCCTCGGGCTCTTCTGGGGAGTAAGGGTTTCTACCTTTGGCTGTGGACGTCCTCCCTGGGCAGGGAGCTCCCGTGGGTGTGGGCTGTGGGGGCTGGCACTGCCTGTGAGGGGCGGGCGGGCCAGGCAGAGCCTGGGAGGCCTCCAGGAGACCAGTGCCCACGGGAGGGGCGGGCGGGAGAGGCTGGGAGGACAGACGGCATCACGGGGCTCCAGACTGAGCTGCTCCACAGTCAGTTTCTGAGACGAGAGGCTCGCGTTGGGGTTTCGGCCGCAGCATCTCACGGGAGAGAGGCCTGTGCTTCCCTGTGACTTAGGCCTCGCCGTCAGCCTGAAAGCACTTTCCCTGAATTAAGGCTCTCACCACAAATAGCGACTGGAGACCGACAGGAGGTGCCTGCAGCACGCGTGACGCCTGTGACGGACACGCGTCTGCGTCCAGGGAGAGGGCAGCCCAGGGGCGGAGGCGGTGGAGGCGGAGGTGGGGGCACTGGCGCTGGTGCCCTGGGCTGAGGCTTGCTGGGCGGTCGGAGCTGCTGTGTCCTGATCACACAGGCGGTGGGGCTGAGGGGCGGGTCTGTGTCCCCCACTCCAGAGCTGTCTCTCTCTCTCTCTGTGAGCCATGCTTCACCCCTCCCCTGGGCCTAGCTTCCGAAACCCCCGCCTGGGCCGGAGAGGGTGCTGACTGGACTCCAAAGGGGAGGAACGTCTGCCCTGGACTGTCTATCTTGGTCCGTGAAAGTTCTTTCTCCCCCGGGCCCTGAGCAAGGGACCTGCAGAGGCCCCGTGGCTCCGAGCGCTGCGGGCGAACGCGCGGGGAGGCCCGTTCCCGGCGTCACTCAGCATTCGCTTCAGGCTGTAGTTCCTGTGGGCTCCTGGCAGGGTGCGCGCGGATCTTTCTCGGGGAGGTTCAGCCGTGTGCATTGAGCCCCCCAGTGTGCTGGGCTCCAGCTTAGGTTTGGGGGTTTTACTGCCACAGGGACCTTCAGGCAGTAAAGGGGCGAAGCAGGCGTCTAAGTTTCTCATGGACACCCACAGTGTGAGGTGAGGGACCAAACAGCCAGGTTCAGATTCTGGCATCTTTCTGAAGGAGCAGCAGGTCACACCAGACGGACGACAGTTAGTTGCTGTGATCCTGAAGCAGGTGTGGGTCACTGGGCACTGCTGGTTGGTCAGACTGTGGGCGAGAGGGACTGTGTGAGCGCGGACGCACTGGGCTGTGGTTGGCACGGGGTAGCCAGCCAAGTCCACTGCTGCCGGGGACATCGAACGCTGGGCCTGAGAGCTCTGGTTGGAACGGACAGGCTCTCAGCGGGTCAGGTGAAGAACGTGTCAGGGCCTCAGGGGACGCGAAGTGAGGCCTGTGCCACCAGCCGGCACTGGCCGCACCGCGGGTAGTCCCAGAGCTCCCAGAGCCCGTGGGGGGCGGGTGAGAGAAGCCGGAAGGCCCCCCCGTGCAGCGAGCCCTCCCTGCCTCCCTCCCTCCCTGCCAGGCCTCCCGGCGGATGCTGGACGACGAGATGACCGTCAGCCTGTCCCTGCCCAGCGAGTCCAGCATGTTCCACAACAACCACTCCTCACCGCCCAGTGAGCAGGGCTCCAGCTCCACCTACGACCGCATCTTCCCGCTGCGGCCCGACTACCAGGAGCCCTCCAGGCTGATCCGCAAGCTCCCAGAGTTCGCTCCCGGGGAGGAGGCGCCAGGTGAGGCTGAAAGAGCAGCAGGGAGCTGGGGGCAGCCTGGCCGAGGGTGGGAGGGTGGGTGTGCCACCGGCTGGTCAGCGGGAGGGGCCCACGCTGCCTCCCCTGGTGCCCATGCCCCCCACCGAGCGTCCTCCTCTGCTCCTGCTGGAGCAGGTGCTGGCTGGGCCCCACCTCAGAGGTGGAAGCGAGTGAACAGAAGGGCTCACTGCGGCGTCTGGGCCAGGAGCCCCCTCAGGTGGCCGAGGGAGAGTGCTTGGAAGGGCCTTCCCCGCACCAGCATCTCGGGGTGCGCTCAGGACCGGGGCCCCTGGAGGAGGAGCAATGGAGGCTGCGGGGCCTGGGGCCTCGGCTTCCCCACCCAGACCTGTTACCTGTTCAGTCCGTTTCCCTTGGTGAGCTTTATCGCTCACACAGATTTCCTGATGAGCGTATTTCCCGGCTCTTCTCAGTAAGAGCTCCGCTTGGAAAAGCAGTGCCAGCGGACTCGCATCCAGCGTTTCCAGAAGTGGCTGTGGAGCGACATCAGAGGGGCTGCTGGGCCCGTTAGGGGCAGGGCCGGTGCTCAGGGGTGGGGAGGGCAGGCGACAGACCCGAGGGAAGAGAGGAAGCTGCGGCCTGAGCCTCAGGAGGGGCTGCGCGAGGGGCACGGGCCTGGAGTGCGGACAGGCGGCAGGAAAAGGGCGGAACGCAGCGAGTTCCCAGGCCGGAGGAGCATAGCTGGTTTCTGAACGCTAACACCCCTCGTATTTCAATGTTTTCTTTCAAGTTAGGGAGTGTCTTAAACTAGATCCTGTAAATTTAACCAGAAAGCGGTTCACGACCTAAACTAGGTCATTAAACCAGGGGTGGTGCCTCACAATGAAGGAAGATGCTGTTAGAGAGAGCTCCCGGCCGTAACCTCCGCCTCACAGGCCATGGCCGCCGGGATAGCGTCCCCCAAGGTCACCCAAGGACATGCTCGCGGTCCTGTGGTCTGAGAAAGGAGAGGCGCGATGGTGGCTGCTCCGAAGCCACGAGGAAGCCTCTGGGAGCCCAGCATCAGGGGGGGGAGACGGGGCTGGGGACCTGCCTCATCCCCCGTCTCTCACGGGGCCACCCCGGGAGCCTCAGAGCCCGGAGCGAGCCCTCCACCGTGTCTTCCAGGCTGCAGCGGCCTTGCCAAGCCAGGCCCGCCCAGCGGCCCTGAGGGCGCGCCCCACTACGCAGAGGCGGACATCGTGAACCTGCAGGGTGTGACCGGGGGCAACACCTACTCCGTGCCCGCCCTCACCATGGACCTGCTCTCGGGGAAGGACGTGGCCGTGGAGGAGTTCCCCCGGAAGCTCCTCGCCTTCAAGGAGAAGCTGGGGGAAGGCCAGTTCGGGGAGGTGAGTGGCTCTGAGAGGGGCATCCAGTCCCGGCGGCCCACAGGCCGCGCTGAACAAACGTGGCCCAAGAGCGGAGTCCCTCCACGGCGGACCCCCTGCGGACACCCGCCATGCCTCCCCGAGGCTCCCAGGCAGCCGGTGTTGGGTCACCGCACCTCTGCCCAGCTCCGTGGCTTCCTGGGCCCGCTGGCTTCTGTGTGTGGGTTACAGCGGGCAAGTCCCCAGGCTCTCCAGGCCCTGAGGACATTCCATATGTTCACATTGGTTAGGGTGACAGCGGGCGGGGGCCCGCAGGAGGTGATCATCTCGTAAACTGTCCCGACACCGTTCTCGAGGGCCCCATGTTGCACATGGGACATATGTGCAAGGGCCCGCACAAGCCC